CAAAAGGTATGCAGTTGACCTATGGTGTAGCAGACTGCAGTATAAAAACAGCTAAGTTAGAATTATCATTACCAAATACGGTTCAGGTGACAAAAATTTACAGTTTCATTTGCGTTTGCAAGTTTCGAAGGGTATAGGCTACCGCCGTAGTAGCCACAAGGACCTGAATTAGTTCCATGCATAGTTGAACCCCATTGTAAGAGTATTTGTAACGTGATCTGCTTCAATTATTACCAATTATCACAACCATTGAAACTGCAGTAATAAAGTAAAGTTCGGTTATAGCGTAGTGTGACTCATCGGCAAATGCATCAGGATACCATGCAGATTATTTAAAGGATAAAGCACTCAACGCTAATCAATCCCCCTTCAGACGTCTTAATGTATTTCACTACTTCTTGGGTTTCATTCATTGCTTATTCACAAAATACATTAATCATGAATAAAGAAGTTGTAAAAGAACCAGTACTGGGATGAAAAATTCATAAACATTGAATTATGTCGGAAGCCAGAGCATAACCTTTACATAGGAAACAGCACCCAAAGTCAATAAAGGTAATGAAGTTGTAAACAGATTGAGAGCTTGAAGAAAACAACATGACAGCACTGACAACACGTTCACATAACTCAACATAAATTGTTTGTAGTAAAAGAAAAATTACTTCCGTAGAAGATCACCACAACTGCATTTTACATCTTTACTTCTGGGGGGAACAACTTCAAGGTCCCTTAGAAGTGAAACATAAAATGCAGCACTGGTGGTTTTCTCTCAAAAGCAACAATACTTTCACCAACAAAGTTGCCACTACTTCAAGGGAGGGACTTCAGTTAAACAGGAAAATCTACAGGCGACATCCTTGTGTTACTCCACCCAACAATTTCTCACATCTTCTCTTCTGAGCTGTGAAAAAACTGTTACCAAAGGCCAGTTCACGATAAAAATGGTTTCTGAGATTTCCCCATAGGACAAATTCGAGGTCCCCCCGTATATCATAACTGGCGCTATTAGGACGGAAAACGGCCTAGCTAGGACGTTAGGTAAGCTCAAAGATTGCACCGTGTGTATCCTCGGACGAGTTTCACCGGCATTGTAGAGGCTGCACCGACCACAAGGGAACCCATGTAAAAAGTTCATACAACTTTTCATGATCCATAGCGACAGTGAAAGACAGTTCTGTACAGTTCTGGCTTGATGTAGTCAGCTCTTTGTGCAATTGCAATAACTGAAATCTCGTCCGAATACCCCTTCCATGTTACGACAATTTCGTCCAACCTCTATTTTCCCTACTTTTGAGGAGCCCTATTTTTCTTGGAATCGGAGAATTCTTTATTAGCGATGAACTTTTCCTGAAATATACTTCTGCTTCTCGAATAAAATGGGGTACACCATAGTATCGTGAACTCTGCCTTTCAATCATCGCACTGTGAGCAATGGGTGGATGGAATGTGATCGCAGCAGTAGTAATTATTTGAGCTTGCTTCTCAGGCTGCTAGAGCCGGCCTGAATTCTAATCTCCGGCCCTTTTTCACAATCTTATTAATATAAATTAATGTAAACATGTATGGCACCTATCGGCTTCCTATTGAGGATTCCCTCTTCGATGCACAGTTTACGATACTTCGGGGTATCTAGTTCCGGATGAATAATGGAAGTGATAGTCCAGAATAGAGCAAAAAACCAGATGAATGTAAGCTTCGAAGAAAGTGAAATGAGGGGTTGAGCCTCGGGGGTAGGTGAAAAGCGAAGTGATTCGTCTGATTTAGAGGCGAAACGAATCACGTACATTTAATTAATAAACAATTACTCACAAGACTTTTTAATTTTTCTTTTTTATTGGACGAGATAGCGACAACAAAATTGCATGAAAGGGGTGCTTGGACGAGATGTTCCAATGTGTGTGCCACTACGTACGAATGGCTATAGTAGGCTGGCTGCGTGCAACGTGTGCATTCCGGTGCGAATGGTGCAACCTCTACAGCCTCTGCAACGCTGTAAGAGCTCGTCCGCTTTTGGGTGTGCACGTCGGCTAAGCCGATTTCGGGGCACTCATTACGCCCTGGCTAGATCGTTTTTCGACACGACTCGGTCCCTTGTGCTACTCTTGGGGGTCATTGGTTCATCTTGACGAGAGTTCTAATAGCCGTTATTACGTGAACTATGCCTTTAAGTGGTCACTGTTTTAAGAAAAAAGTAATTCATGTCTGAGTATCGGAAAACTTTCCCTCTTTTTTATGTTGTCATTTACAGGAAATTATTTCTTGGTGACTCTTGGTGACTGCAAAAAATCCCTTAACGTTCGGATTTATTCCTAGAAAATTCAGGATTTCTGGAATTAGGTGACTCACTGACTCACTGACGCAAAAACGATTTAGAATTAATAAAAATACGTCAGAAAAAGGGATTATCAAAAGCAGATCTCTTGAGCTAAACTCCTAAATACCTTAATATCGGCTACAAAACACTGCCATCGTTCCCTGAGATCGAAAATAGATATCTGCGTCACATCCGAGGTGAATATTACGATGTACACGATGGAATGTGGTATTTAGATTGATATCGAGCTCTTCACCCACACAGAAATCCATTTCTCAGTAGAGTCTCGTCTTTGTGCGGTAATAATCCCTCTTAAAGCGTATTCACTCGAAATATCAGAAGCGTTACTGTAACGTTCGTAGAAGTAATGTTTTGGTTTCGAAACAAATCTGATACCCACTATTCAAGTAGTAAAGTACATATTCAACAGCTGAGATCGTTTTGACACTATTTTCTGGAAATATTTTAAATCCTAACATACATGGAAATGAAAACTTTCTGGCCGTTGAAGCAAAGGGAAGGACAGATTCGATTATACGGGAATGAATTGTACTTTCTAGATTGTTCCACGATTTAGCTCATCGTCCGGAGCCACCGGTTAATTGCTCGTCGAACAAACCAGTTAGCCGAACAAATAGTAAATAATGAAAGCGTTTTTCTTAGGTCAATAGTAACTCAAAGAGTTTGGCGTCCCTTACGAAGCTAGGAGCGGCCCAAAAAGACGTGATATTCAAATACTCTGAGTAACATGTCAGTAGTGTTTTACTGCTTATCTCATTAATAAAAAAAGGATAGAACAATGAATAGTTCTTCTGTAATGGGCCTGGATTACTAGTCAAAACAAGAGAATATTACAGGTTTTTTGGAAAAAGTATGTGCTTCACTGAAAATGAGCGGCAAATCATTTCACCTTAAAGTTCTTCTGATTATATGTATAAAATTTTTCCGCCATTTTGTTCATGTTTTAGGATAGAATAACTCTAGAATGTCCAAAACTTCATTGCGAAGCACAATTCAAAAATGAGCCTTATTCTAAAGTGAAAATTTTCATCAACGTCAACGAATAGTTAGCCGAAAAGCCTGTTTCACCTTTGTTTATAGGGGAAAGCAAACGGAAACGCTTGAATTTTCTCGAATATTCAGATTTAATATGAGTTGATGGGCACTTATCACAAAAAGCTGTGGACGTCTTCAAGGTGACGGCAAAAGTAACTTCTATTTCAAATCTTCCGAGAACTTGTTCATTTCGGCTTTAAACTTTTTCAGCCTCGATTAGAAACGAGCCCAAAAGTATGGTTTCTTCAAAGAATTAATTGACAATAGAAGTTTTCGTACTAGCATTTCCGAGGGGACTTTTTATGTTAAAATCGAAGCGATTACTGTCTCCAAAGACTTTTTATAACTACAAAATAGCAACGCGTATGCTCGAGTAACTCAAAATTTTGCTTTTAAACGATTGGTCCCAATGACTTGAGAAAAAGGCATTTGAAGCAGTTTATTTGGACCAGGCCCTAAACTACCTACGGTCGTTGCAAACTTTCTTTACATCTCATAGATCAGCATAAACAAGAGAAAAGTACTCACAAAAAAGGAGTCGAAACAAGTAATGCCTATGTTTGACTGATTTTCGCATCTACCAATATAGTCCGCAGCGCTAAGTTTTGAGAAAAACCCTCAAACCATTTGACCCACTGAATTTTGTGTACTGTAAAAAAAACCCGCTTTTCAAGTACTGTGCAGATCACTACTGTGGCAGCTATTAATAGTCTCAAAACAGCCACTTATTGACAGAAACAAATACAGATCCGCTGGGCTCTGATCCAGGGACCAGCCGGGGCAGGTACCGCCCTAAAACAATTAGGCCTTTGGAGGCCCACGTAGGCTTTGGCAAACGAAGAATTTCTAGCCCCATATAACAGAATGCATTTCGATCTGGGCCCTAAAATTTCTGGGACAGCAACTCAGTAATCGGTTAACCAGAAGGTACAGGTATTTGGACGGAAAAATTACGAAAGCTGGGAAATCATTGAGCTGAGTTTTAAAATGTCGCGGAAATGGCAATACTGGGGGATTGGTTAGAATTTGGATGCGTAAAAGACACTTTGGAAGGAGCGTAGACGTTTCTTCTATTAAACTGTTATTTATATTTGCTCAAAGTTTTCCAGCAGTCATGTTTAGTTATGTGAACGTCCTAATCGTGCCCATTGTTAAATGTATTGATGGAGTATAAATGGAAACGTGACTATAATTTCCGGGGATAGGAAGTGGGATGCTCAAGAGGAAACAGAAATCAGAATGTGTCAATAGGGGAGTAGGATACTCTACATAGGTCAGTCATTATCAGCTATATACATCTCGTTCAATTTCGGGAACCAAAATTCATGAGAACAGGTCGTCATCGGAATACGGAAATCGGAGCTGACAGATCCGTTACTTCTCGAGGGGTTCAGTCAATCAAGTTTCATGCCAGATCATGAAGAACAGTTACGTACAGAAACCAGAACGAACAAAGCTGACAAAAAATAAATAAAAATTTAAAAAATCAAGGAAGTTTTTGTGCCGAGGGTGAAACGGAAAAATACGAGTGCGACGAAATACTGCATGTGTTGCTTTTAGTGGCAATATTTTGACAGGATGATTGCAGTGAAGTAGTAATGCGGGGATAGACGACGTTATGGGGTTCTGCTCACGAAACGGATGTCAACACGTTGGAAGAGCTCTCCACGCCATCCTCTGACAACGCCGCCACGATGTGGAAGTTTGCCGTTTGGCGGAGAGATGAACGGAAATGAGCCAGGACAAGAAGGAATCGCAAAAATGGAACGTAGAAATGACAATAATTTTGACAATATCGAAAGACCCAAAACAGGCAATGGTATGATCGCCAATAGCCATAATTGACCTTTTTCAAATTGAAAACATGAAATTCCGAAACTCCGCACTCAAGTTGAAATTTGTCAAAGTGAAGCGTATGATGGCTAACCGGCTCAAATCCAGTGCCATGTTGTTCTTGAAGCATTCGAAGTCGAAATGAAGCATGGCCATTCCGAAAACGACTTTTCGGATTTGACTGCACCGGTGGAGGACCGCTCATTTCGTCTTCACCAACGAGAGCAGCGATCTAAAAAGAATTCTCTAAAGTCAGTTTCGGAATTTCAAGAAGTCTGACTCCTAAGCGAACAACGTTTTCTGTTGGATTGCGCCTGACCAACTCTTAGCTCTTCATCTTCTACGGCTTACCTTTATTGCGGAACTTTCCTCAGAGACATCTTCTCAAACCGAAATTTAGGTTGGAAACCCGTTTCCTACAACGACCCGATGGTGGTATGAAACCCAACATACTCAGATCTTCAGGGGCAACATATTTCATCCTACAACATAACCTTATTTGAATACACACATACTAATCCCGCCACATATACGACGCATCGAGAAAGGCCTCAGGCAAGGACATCATGTGGATGCGTGGGGGTAGCCGTGTGACAACCAGGCAGGCATTTGAGCCAGGTCTCTCAGCCGGATTACTGTGGGAGTGTGGTGTTCCCGTTCTGAAATTTCGTTTTTGTCTTGAACCTAGGCATCATCGCTCTTTACCCTGTCATGATTTCAAAGTTTACTGTTATTGAGTAATGGGAAAAGTGGAGGTATGTGGAGAGGCATACCAGCAGGAAGACGAACATGCAGAACGATATACTACTAGGCAGACGGCCATAGAGGTAGAGAGATAATAGAAAAAATGGAGAGGAATGGACACTAAAGGCAAAAAAATAATTAGAAAGAAATACAATCAGACTGGCAGATAAGCAGATAAGGAGACAGGCCAATGAAACGTAAGGAAACATCGATAAGATAGAATTTTGAGTGTTATTACAAATGTAGCCACGAGATTGTCCCTCATGCATAAGTAAAAGCACTCAAGAACATTCATATATATGTACTTACATGAATATATTAGTTTATATAAGGGTATTACAAATATAGTGCAGACATACAAGTTTACTGATAAAGGAGATGGTGAAAAAAAAACGGTATGACATATGGAATATGAAATGGATGCAAGCGAATGACGAGAAATGCCACGGTACCTCTCCATGTTGAAATGGCAACATCACTTGACTGGATTAACATTTCATAATAAAGTTAGCAGTGAGCATTTACCGGAGCCGATAACTTACCTTCTTGCCAGGTTTTCTAACTGATTGCTGCCCACTTGTTCCCTCTTCATTGGTCACCGATAACTTTCGAACATGCAAATGCACTGGAGATGATGGCGGAGAAGCCATGCTGAAAAAATACATATCGATTGATGACGTATAGTTACGACGCTTGAATGAGAGGTATGGCCAACTGTCTAGAATTTTGAAACGACGTATGAATATGGCAAAAAGTAGTCGTATCAATATTTGAGTGCACTGAAACGAATTAGGAAACGAGGCGGTACGATGCCTCAACTCGCCAACCGGATGGCCTCCGCTTGCGTGTCAATTTGGCGTTTCAGTAGGAACGAGGTAACGCATCGGTTATATCTAATCATGAGTTGTAGGTAATAAATATCAGAATTGGGTATTAGTTCTTAGGAGAAAAGGCTAATATAGAAACGAGGCGCTCAGCTGGCCCAGTAGGTTAGATGCCACCTGCGTGCCACCACAGGTAGGTAAGGAAAGGAAATACCAGATGGTAATACTTTATCAGGAATGATAGGCCACAAACATCTGATCTACTTGGGTATGAGTTCTCCGAAAAAGACTTGGTGATTTGGAAGGCAGCTTTCAAGCTCCTCTACGTGCCAATCCTGTTTTGGTAGAGCCGATCTTTGAGGTAATTAAGCGCATAGCACAGCCGATGGACAGACCGGAAGTAAGCAGAAGGGGGTTGGAATGAATGGGAAATTGCAAATGTTGTCAAACCGATGTCTAATAAGAGTACGATGATGATATCAAGGTAAATTAGTAAGTAAGCCTAGGGATAGGGATAGAAGTGAAGGCACGGCTAAGCCTACGACTTGGATATGGACATCTACGTGTTTTTAATCGATAACATTCTATAACAGCTAATTCCAATCCACGTAAGGAAGAGCTTCTTAAGCCGGGATTAGCGAAACGGGATTGACACACGTCGTCTTTCATCGCACTACTGTAATTGTTTTAATAATTTTTGAAGCCTGGGGAGATGATTTTTTCCATTTCAAAGGACCAGAATCAGAGCAGTTCCTTGGAAAATTTTAGAAAAACTGGGTATTAAGGAAGAGTAGCTGAACATATCCGCTTTGTCTTGTTCACGCAAATGCACTCACAGCAGTTCATTCTGATGAAACCCACCTTAGCGACGGCGAAAGTAGAGATTTCTGCTGAGCCTCCATCAGAAATCCGATACATGCACCATGGATGAGAAAAACACGTTAGGGCAACAGGATGACACTCGAATCAGGGAACTCCTCATCACTATTAGGTTTTCATCTGAATACGATTACTGCAGTAAGAAAAAGTCGAGAACAAATTCCGCTATCCAGGTATTACGTTGAAATTGATGTCCAGAAACTGTGATAAATAGAATGAGTGAAATTCAAAATGAAAATAGCCTGTGCGAAGGGCTTTGCTGAGTACTCGATCTCCTTTTACAATGACATAAGTACTAGTCAAGAAAGGTAACTATGACATCTGTTGAAACACGAGTGCAAACTTACCCCCACCCCCATAGAAGATCTCGAAATGGCAAACGGTCTTGTTCATTAAATTGTTCTAACAGCGAAATGGACCATAGCTAATGTTGATTTCAAAATTTTGTAAGATTAAATAGTGAAAATGTAGTTTGGGGGGGGGGGGGGGGGGGGGGGGGGGGGGGGGGGGGGG